TACACTTGCAAAATGAGGAGGTTGGATTAGACTAGGGGTTATCAACCTTGGGCAGTCTGGTGATGCCTATGGACCCATCTCAGAATGTTTTTAAATAATTGTAGGAAATGCTAAATTTCAGTTAGATGTTAGTGAAAATAAAGATGCATTTTTTTTCCTCATTCAAGTTCACAGACTTAATGAAATCTATCAGTCCATGAACCCCAGGTTAAGAATCTCTAGATAAGGGGCAGCTAGGTGGTGCAGTGGAGAGAGCACCGGCCCTGGATTCAGGAGGACCTGAGTTCAAATCCGGCCTCAGACATGTAACACTTACTAGCTGGGTGACCCTGGGCAAGTCACTTAACCCCATTGCCTAGCCAAAAACAAAAACAAACAAACAAACAAAAAAAGAATCTCTAGATAAGATGATTTCATGGTATCTTCCAACCCTCAATTCCATCTTCTCAAAACACTTCCTAGACCTCTTATACATTTATGTAATTTTCTAATTCAAATTATATTTATTTGTATGCCTTAGCACACCTAAATTGTAAGAGGGTAAAGTCTGTGTCTGACTAATATTCATAGTTCCTAATGTAGCATAGTGCCATTTGCAAATAAAAAAGCAAGTAATTAACAAATGTTTATGGAATGAATGAATGAAACCACATTTGAACATGCGTTTCCTCTTATGAAATGTAATTCTTTGGTTCATTGTTTCAGTCATTCTAAGTATTAAAAGGCCTGCATTTGCATTTAAAGTTGGTCTTGCTAAACTAGTTTTTGTATTTGTTGAGAATCCAAGTATTTCTTCATGCCAACTCAGAAGTAAATCTTAAGAAATAATTCATGTGTTAACTTTAATATATATGCCTAGTTACTGGCGTTTTGTACTGTCAAAAATGCCAACTCTGTATTGAACAGGGTCCAGTTCTTGGACATCAATTAATGATCTAGCTAACTCAAGGCTATTGAGATGATATGGGAGGTTTGGACTTCATATATTTAAAGGATTTTTTTCAGTTTAATTTCTTTATTAAAAAAAGTTTATATCCTTTGTTCCTATTGTTCAGTCATGTCTGACTCTTTGTGACCCCATAGACCACTGCACACCAATACTGTCCCTGTAGTTTTCTTGGCAAAGATAGCGGAAGGGTTCACCTGTTTCTTTCTCCAGTGGATTAAGGCAAACAGAGGTTAAATTACTTGCTTGAGGTCACGCGGCTAGTAAATGTTTGGGGCTGTATTTGAACTCAGGTCTTCCTGAATCTAGATCCAATGCTCTACCCACTGAGCCTCCTAGCTACCTCCTTTGTTCTTATATCACATGCTTAAGTACCTTCTGTGGCTGTCCTTTGTAAAAGGCTTAGACTATATAATTGTAAGATTCCTAAATCTGTTAGCCCGTGATTCAATTTTTGTGTACAAAAATGAAATGTAACTTAGACAGTAATAATGCAGTTCAGTGGACTGAGAAATTGTTTTGTCAATGGACAAAAGAATAATCATTAATGGTAATTAATTAAGGTACGGTTTCCAGCCTGAAGAGACAGGCACAGTTCAAGTGCAAAAACGAAAGTGTTTAGAAAATGTTTATTGGACGTGTCTGGTACATGTGGGGAAGCAGTTAGACCTAGTCTGGGCACCTCTGAAGATTGGGCTTTAGGAAATGGTTTATATATGGTTTTACAACAAAGGGAGGCAGGACGTAGGCAGGTTCTGGGGATGTTTTCAGGGCGTTTTGGAGAGGAGAGTTCCAGGATTGGGAGGAGAATAGACGGAGTACAGAGTACCTGGAACCTGAATATTTGTGCAAGCTCTGTCCTTTGGGGACTAGTATGAATCACTTTAAGCTGGCCCTGTGGTTGCTGGCACAGCAGAGGTGTCCTGGATTCACCCAGTGAACATTGTAAAGGATCACTGGTATGTCAAACTTGAGCAACATTCATTTCCCCTCCTGACTGGCTGATTCCTATTCCCAGGTTATTTTGGCTTTTCCTGGATAATAAGGGAGCTCAAGCAAATTGAAGTGATTAGTAAACTCATTATTCATTCCATTTTCACAATAGTTTGATGCCATCCTGGAAGCAGGGCTTTAATGGAATGTCACAGGGATCTATCCTTGACTATTAAAAAAAATTTTATATATATTTCTAATTGTCAGACATTTGTTTTTGCCCTTTCTATGACTCACTGAAAACATCGAGGAAGGAGGGAAGGTAAGAAGAATGCATAGAAGGATAGGAGGAGGGTGGGAGGGAAGGGAAAAAGAGAGAAGAATGAAGGGACAGAAGGAAGAAAAGAAGGAAGGAAAAAATAAAGGAAGGAGCAAAAGAAAGATGGAAGGAACAAAAGAAGGAAGGAGAGAGGGAAGGAGGAGAAGAAGAAAGGAAAGAAAGAAGGAAAGAAGGAAGGAGGGAAGGAAAGAAAAGAGGAAGGAAGGAAGAAAGGAAGCATCCAGTTTTGGCCACCAAAAAAAAGCTGCTATAAAAATGAGGGAAGGAAAGAAAGAAAGAAGGAAGTTTCCAGTTTTTGCCACCAAAAGAAAAGCTGGATATTTGTGTACATAAAGGATAATTTCCTCTTTTTTTAATGTCTTCCAAGATAGGACTAATAGAGTATACCTGGGTCAAGGGTTATGTGCTGTTCAGTAACTTTTCTTGCATTATCCCAAATTGCTTTTCATAATGGCTGGACTAGCTCGTAGTTGCACCAACAATGCAGCGCTGTCTGGTTTACCACAGTTCCTCTAATATTTGCCATTTTCTTTTCTTCTTCCTTTTTTTTCCCGTCATCTTTTCCAATCTGATGAGTAGAAACTCAGAGATGCTGTCACGCGCATTTCTTTAAGTATTAGTGATTTGGAGTACTTTCAAAAACATTGTTATGGATAGTCTATGTTTTTTCCCTTGAGAACTCCCTGTTCATGTCCTTAGATCATTTATCAATTGAGAAATAGCTCTTATTCTTACAACTTTGTATTAAATCCTTACTTTGAAAATGAAACCTTTTATCAAAGAAACCTGAAGTGAAGATTCCCCATCCCCCCATTTGTTTCCTTCAGTTCCTAGGCTTATTGGATTTGTTTGTGTAAAAATTTTTAAATTTTATGTAATAAAAATTAGCCATTTTATCTTCTGTGATTCTATCTCTTGTTTGTTCACAAACTCTTTCTCTGTCCTTAGATCTGATAAGTAATTTCTTTATGATGCAACTTTTTATATTACTCCCTTCCTCATTGGAATGTAATTATTCATCCTCATAAAATCCATTCCGATTGTTTACTTGTATTTATTTTTTAATTTTTTTCTTGACTCAGTGTTCCTATTCAGCTCTCTCTCTCTCTCTCTCTCTCTCTCTCTCTCTCTCTCTCTCTCTCTTTCTCTCATCAGGAATGTTTGAAAGTCTTCTATTTCATTCAAGGTTCATTTTTTTTCTTTTGTAAGATTATATTCAATTTTGTAGACCTTCACCTTTTGGAATATCATATTGCATGTTCCCTGGTCCCTTATAGTGGTAGCCACTAAGTTTCATGTGATCCTAACTGTGGTTCCTCAATATTTGATTTTTTTCTTTCTGGCTGCTTGCAGTATTTTGTCTTTGGTCTGTCAGCTCTGGATTTTAGCAATGACATTCCAGGAGTTTTCATTTTAGGGTTTCTTTTAGGAGCTGATTGGTAAATTATTTCTATTTTCATATTGCCCTCATTCTAATATGTCTGGGTAGTTTTCTTTAATGGTTTCCTGAAAAATGATATTCAGGTTCTTTTTTTTTTTTTTTGGTAATGGATTTAAGTAGTACAATGATTCTTAAGTTATCACTACTTGATATGTCTCCTAGGTACATTTTCTTTTAATACATTATATATTACATTTTCTTGTAATATCATTTTAGCTCTTTCTAAAGATTCATATCATTTCTACTAGGAATTCTAATTTATCTAGTGGGTAAACTTTTTTTTTTCTTAGAGGTTTAGATTGTAGGTGTTTTGGGTGTTATTCTCTTCTTCTGGATTTCTGTCTCTGCCATCCCTGGCATCATTAAAGACCTTTATCATTATTATTTTGTTTACTCATTGGAGATGTTGAGGCCTCAGGAACTGAAATTCTAGATTTCCCCATATCAGCTGATTAGACTAACTGGGGCCCTTTTCTTTGTCCCGGGTTGCTTTCTGTGGCCATGGGAGTCTTTCCTTCACTTTGACTCCCCCTTTCCTCAGGAATCACACTAAATTAAGTCATCTGCCCACAAATCATACTTTTTCCTTTACCTGGGATGTTATGGTTAACTCCTTCCAGGACTGGCTTTAGTTGAAGCCCTTTTCCTAGAAGGGGAAAAGGAAAGAGAGGCCTTAAAAAAGATCTAAGCGTTTGTCGGAAATTGCCCATCCTCTGGTGGAATAGACCTAGTTGAGTCTTTTTCCTGGGGTTAGGGAGAGGGGACTTTTCACATATCTCATTACACTGAGGTGCTTTTCTTCCTCAACCAGATAAGGCTACCTTTACCTTCCCTCCTCTTTGCCCTAAAAGCAGGGTGCAGCTGGTTCTGAGGTTCTTTTTTTCTTTGATGAAGTCTTTGACTTTCCCTTTTGGCCCTCAGAAGATCTGGCTTTTAGAATCCTAATGTTATGAGAAGTTATGGAGGCACTTCAAATATATCTGCCCTTCAGGATTGCTATGAGGGTGAAATGCATTAATGTATATAAAGTACTTTGCAGTCCGCAAAGTGCTATATAAATGTGAGTTATTTTATTTTATTTTTTTTTAGTTGAGTTAAGCTTTTAATTTAATGTTACAAAAAATATTTAGTCAAACAGACCAAAGCCCATGTCATCATTGGACTCCTCAGATTCTTTTTTTTGCTTCCTCTTTCTTCTCAGCTGGGGCAGCCGTGCTAGCAGGAGCTGCCCCTCCAGCAGGGGCAGCACCACCAGCTGCTGGGGCAGGTCCACCAACTCCTACACTGCAGATGAGACTTGCAATATTGACATTGGACAGACATAATACTGGCCAGAATGGTTCAACACTTGCACCTGCTGCTTTAATGAGGGCATTGATTTTATCCTCCGTGACTGTAACATCATCGTCATGAAGGATGAGGGCAGAGTAGATGCAAGCGAGCTCAGAGATGGCCATTTCAGCAGAAGGATGAGGAGAGACTTGTTTGTAGTGGTGCTAGTGGCTGGATAAAGTGAGGAGTCACCCCAATGCGGCCTTAGCTTCCAAAGAAGAACCAAGCACCTTGCAGATAACTGAAAAGAAAGCCTAAATGTCAGTTATTATTGTTGTTATTATCACATCTTGAAGACCTTTAATATATGTAAGCTGACCATGTCAAAGATTTCAGCATTTCTAGCTAAGTAAACAACCATTTATGAAGTACCTACTATGCACCAGGCTGGCAATACAAAAAAATAAAAGGCAAAAAAAGTCTTTGCTTTCAAAGAGTTTGTGATCTAATGAGAGACAACATACAAATAACTACGTATGAATGAAGTCTGTCTAGAATAAACTGGAAATACTCTTAAGAGAGAAAGCAGCAGTATTAAGGTAGATCAGAAAATGCTTCTTGCAGAAGGTGAGATTTTTTTCTGGGACATGAAGGAAACCAGGAGACAGATGAGGAGAAGGGGCATTCCAGGCCATAGGGGATAGATCTGTTCTTTTGAAGAGGGTGATAGCTTTTGCTTGGTGCCCTACTTCTGCTCTCTTAGATGATAAAACAGTAGTAAGGAGCTTTGCTGTGAGGAATATTCTTTTTTTAAAATTTTTTTTTCTTCCATATGCTTTTGAGTTGAAAATTTTTCTCCCTTTTCCTCCCCCACCCCCCCCAAGACGGCATACAATCTGACATAGGCTTTACATTTACATACCCATTAAACATATTTTCACATTAGTGAAGTTGTAAGTAAAAATCAAAACCAATAGGAGGAACCATCAGAAGGACGAAACAAAACTCAACAGAAGGTAAAAATAAGTGATAGCAATTCGACTTCCATAGTTCTTTCTTTAAATGTGGACAACATTTTCCATCCCGAGGCCTCTGGAGATGCCTTAGATCCTCGTAATGCTGAGAAGGGTTCAGTTTAACATTCTTAGTCATTGCATAACATGGCTGTTATTGTGTACAAAGTCCTCTTGGTTCTGCTCACTTCACTCTGCATCAGACCATGTAAGTCTTTCCAGGTTTTTCTGAAGTCAGCCTGTTCATCATTTCTTATAGCACAATAGTATTCCATTACATTCATATACCACCACTTGCTCAGCCATTCCCTAATGGATGGGCATCCTCTCAATTTCCAATTCTTTGCCACCACAAAAAGAGCTGCTATGTATATTTTTGTACCTGTGGGTCCTTTTCCCATTTGTTTGATCTCTTTGGGATATAGCCCTAGAAGTGTTATTGCTGGATCAAAGGGTATGCCCATTTTTGTATCCCTTTGGGCATAGTTCCAAATTGTTCTCCAAAATGGTTGGATCATTTTGCAACTCCACCAACAATGTATTAGTGTTCCAATTTTCCCACATCCTGTCCAACATTTATCATTTTCCTGTTTTGTCATGTTGGCCAATCTGATAGGTGTGATGTGGTACCTCAGAGTTGTTTTGATTTGCATTTGTGAGGAATATTCTTAGCTAATGTTAAAGCATTATAAATGTAAGTTGTTATTGTTTTTGTTACACTTACTCCTTTGTCTCTATTGCCACTGCTGCGCCACTATTGATATCTACCTGCACTATCCCAATAGCCTTCCAGTTGGCTTTCCCACCTCTAGTTTCTCAGTCCATTTTTTATACTACTGCCAACTTAACCTTAATTATTCTAAGATCTGATCTCACTAGCTTGCCAAATTAAATCCAAATTTTTAGTCTGACATTTTTTTGGGTCCAGATATGTGATTTCATTGGTGTGGAGAGTCCCCCAGATGGGAAAAATCCCCCTTCCAATGTAGGTCAGCAGCTGCTTGCAGCTTCTAGTTTTGGAAGGTTGCCAGGGCACTGAGAGGTTAAGTGATTTGTTCACAGTCACAAACATCAGAGGTAGTACTGGAACCTAGATCATCCTGATTTCAAGGCCAGTCTTCTATCTACTACTCCATATTGTCTTTCATTTAAGACCAATCTGTTGCCAACCTACTTTTTCTTCACTGATCCTTAGAAGTAAAAAGGAGTAGTAAGTGATCAGTCTCACTTTTCCCCTTGGTAGCAGTGATGCCAGTGTTGGAAAGATACAGGGCTGTTCTTTCAATTGCTATAGATGGAGCTGGGGGAGTTTCTTCACTGCTGTTTCTGTAGCTGCTTCCCAAATCTATACACAGTGACCATATTTTAAGTTTTATTGATACCTCCCTGGACTGTGCGTAGTGGCAAACAATGGAGATGTACTTGCAAACATCATTAATTGCACATTGGTCAGTGCATTGTATATTTTTCCTATGGAGCTAAAACCATGGAGTGAAGAACCTGGGTCCTTCACTGCCATTTTATTTGTCTTCTCTTTACATCAGTGTCACAGGGCTTCATAGACCCTCTGTTGCTTTTTTGGGGAATGTGGCAGTACTTTGAGAGTCCATCCCAAAAGAATGGGTGGGAAATATGGGTTAGAAATACTAAGGAAGGAGCAGACCAAGAGCCTCTATCAAACCTAAGAAGGGGTCTTTCCCTAGAAGTCAGTGCATGTAGCCAAGAAGTGGGGGGACAAGACAATTCTGTGGACTGAGCGAGTAGAAGAGGTACATTTTGCTTGATCAAAGGACTTTTAGGAGCTATTTGCTTTTCAAGTCTAAGTTGCTCATGCATAGCTGATGAATCTCTCCTGGTATTATCTGACAAAATCAGGAAAAAGATGCACATTTCCCCATTGTATGAAAAGCAGTATGAGAGGGATGACTGTAGCATATGAAACACTGAAACCACAAGAGGTTTTAGCAGCCAACAGAACTGTGTTTCCTTTGGTCCATTCTTGCTGTTCCCACATCTATGAACATGCTTATTCTGCTATCTGTAATGGAAAATAAGTGGGAAGATAACGATTCACTTGACAGTTTTTTTCTGAGATATTTTTTTCTGGGCTAGATTTATTTTGTTAAATTAAACACAACCTGTAATTAGGAGATTCTAGTAGGTTTCAACTCTAGGTTTGGTTTTATTTATTAAGCCAAGGATGCATTGTGCCAGAAGAGGCCAGGGAAAGAAAAGAACTTGAAATTCTCTTTGCCCCTGTAATGTGTTACTCTGTCCCTTTTCTTTTTACAGGGAGTTGTAGAAACAAATGCTATGAGCAATCCTACAGAGGACTGGAAGGCTGCCAGTGTGATAGTGGCTGTAGAGAGCGGAAGAACTGTTGCTGGGATTTTGAAGAAACTTGCGTGGCATCAAGTATGTACAATAAAATTGCATGAATTAGCCTATCGCTATCATTTGCTTTTTTGAACAATAATGATGTGGAACTCATTTTCTGGTTGGCAATAGTCCTGTCAATGGACTGCCTCTGCCTTTTAGCAGTCCAAGGCCTTTTTTAGCATATATCTCCAGAAGAGACTGGGTGACCCGTTGTAGGGCTTGTTGTAGAGGGTACTCTTATTTGGCATAGATTGGGCTGACTAGATAGCCTTTGAGGTCTTTTCTCACTCTGAGAACCTATAATTCTGAAATCCTCACTTCACAGGACCTACCAAAGATAGACAAACATTATTTAATTAACCAGGATCACTGCTAAACTATAAAAGGCTTATTTTACTGTTTTTTAAAAAATAATGCCTATTAAAATGCATTAAAAATAAATGCATATTAAATTTGACAATGTTGGCCACCTTTTTAGTTTTTATTTTGTTCTTCTGTAGTTGTAAATAATCTCTAAGCATCACCTAGGTGTCAGTCAGTTAACAAGCATATTAAGCTCTCCCTCTGTGTTTGGCACCGGGCCAACCACTGAGGATACAAAGGGGGGTGAAAACTTGGGGCCTGTCCTCAGAAAGATCACATTCTAATGAGGAGAGACAGCATGAAAACAACTATGTACATTCATGATATATGCAATGTAAACAGAAGGTAATCTCAGAGGGAAGGACACTAGCTGTGTGTGTGTGTGTGTGTGTGTGTGTGTGTGTGTATCTATGTGAAGACAAAGGATGAGGACCAGGAAAAGCCTCCTCCTGAAGATAATGTGATATGAGCTGAGTGTTGAAGGAAGCCAGTGAGGTCAGGAGGGAGAGCATTCTAGCCATGGTTGATGTTTAGTCATTTCTTTCATATTTGACTCTTTGTGACCCTATCTGGGGTCTTGGCAAACTAAAAAGGGGGCTAATATTGTCAAATTTAATAAGCATTTATTTTTAAGGTCAAAACAAACCAATAAGTCTTTCTTTTACAGTTTAGCAGTGAGTGATTCCAGCTATTTTTTTAAGTGCATTTTCATTTAATAGTAGCTAGCATGTATACAGCAAATAATCTGTGCCAGGCACTATGCTAAGAACTTTACAAACATTATTTCATTTAATGCTCATGACAATCCATATTTATTACATGAGTCATAAGAGTATGGATACTTTGTGGGTATAGGGTGCACATGCACATGCACACACACACTTACACATCCACACACAAAATGGCATATATTTACTGCTTTTTTTTCCCCCTCTCTTAACTCCCCTCAAGTAATCATCAATATTATATTACCTAAATAGGCTCTGTTTTGCTCTCCAACATGTTCTGCCAGTCCTGTGGGTTGTCGGTTGCAGAGACATACACTGGCATGGGTGACATGGCATTTTACGGGGAGGACTGTTATTGTGACCTATCTGGGAAGTGAAACAGTGGCCTGTGGGGGAATTCTAAAACTAGAGTCCTGAACCAGTTGGTAATTCAATCCAATAAGCCCTTCTTAGAGTACTACTTTGTCTAGACTTTGTCCTAAGTGTTGAGGATAAGAAGGGGGGAAAAAAAAGGAAAGCCCTTTCTGTTAAGGAATTTACATTCCACTGAGTTAGCATGTACAACAGAAAAATAAATATAAAACAAATGTAAATTTAAATCACTTAACTCCTCTAAGGCCTTAGTGTCTTCAAAGGTAAATTGTTAGGTTGGATTAGATAACCTCTAAGGTCCTTTCCAGTTCTAGATCTATGATACTAAATACAAAGTAATTTTTTGAGGTAGAGGGTTAGAGCAGCTATAATAATGGAAAGGATTAGGAAAGGTTTTTTGGTTTTTGATCTGACCATTGACTGGAGGTAGAGATTTTGAGAAGTTC